AGGGAGGAAGGGAGGTAGGGAAGGAAGGGATGGAAGGGGAGAAAGGGAGGAAGGGAGGAAGGGAAGGAAGGGAGGAAGGGAGGAAGGGGAGGAATGGGAGGATGGGAGGAAGGGAGGAAGGGAGGAAGAGGAGGACGGGGAGGAAGGGAGGAAGGGGAGGAATGGGAGGATGGGAGGAAGGAAGGGAAATAAAAGTCCTCACCTGTGTTTCGCCCTGAGCTCATTCCCCAGCACCACAGGCACACCAAAAAGTGCCTGAATATGACTTCAGCATGCAACCCTCCTGATAAATACAACCCTCCTGCAGCATGGGAACCTTTCACCGCATGGGACCCTCCTACTGCTTGCGGCCTTCCTGCTGCCTGCGCCCCTCCTACAGCATGGGACCTCCCATGGCATGTGACCCTCTTGCTGCATGTGACCCTCCTGCAGCAGTGGAAAGCACTGACAAATGTGGCCCCGCCTCTGGGACACTTCTAGACAGGAGACACCGCACCACAATGCAGCAGGTGGAGAGCAGGAAGGGTGCTGTGCCACGTCCAGGTGGGTACCGGGTGCTAGGCTGGTGGGACTCATTTCCTCCCAACTAGCAGGAAGGCATCTGAGGCTGGAGCTCAGCTCCTTCATGGAGTGGTGGGAGCGAGCTGGGCCAGGAGGGAGAAGAGAGCACCAAGGTGGTCAGAGCGGGTCCAGCCTTCCCAGATTTACTGGTGGGCTTCTCAGGAGAGCTGGTCCTGGGCAGAAGTGCTGACTTAGGAAACACAGCCTGCCCGACCAAGAGCTTTATGAGACACATCATACGTCCTGAGGCCATACACGGGTGAGAGGGGCCTGCCCACGTCCTAGTGGGCAGCTGCTGTCCAAGGGGCAGGGACCCTGGCTGGTGTCCTTCCAAGCACCACTTCCTTTCTCTCCTGGTGACACCTGAGGACTCAGGCAAAGCTGCTTCCCACCAGGCCTGACTCACCTGGCCTCCGGCCAGACCCCCTCCCCGGGCTGCAGGTGCCCCTCCACGGTCTCCTCCTGCCAGGCCTCTGTTCCTCTGGGCCCTAGCTGCACTCCCTCCCCTTCCCCAACCACATTCCTGCCACCTCCTCCAGAAAGCCTCACTCCAAGGGCTGCCAGGGAACATACAGGCCACTCAGCCACATTCAAACTCAGGGAAACAAACTTCTTAGTGTGAGTATATTCAGTGATCGCCTGGGATGTACTTACACTAGGAAAAAAACACGCTTCTCTGAAATTCATCTGTAAGACGGTTCTGCTTTTGATCTGGTCTGGCTGGTTGTAACCCCACTCCAACACCACACACGGCACACACACCAGGAGTGTGTCCAGGGCAGGACTGGGTCTTCCTGGCTCTCTCCCTCTGCCTCAGGCTCAGAAGCCAGGAAATGCTTCAGTCCAACCAGGAGAGTGAACTGAGTCCTCAGGGGTCAGGGCTGACACCGACACGGCTCAGGCCCACAACCACCCTGCAGCCCCTTCCCTCCCACGCCCCACTCAGATGCCAGGGCACACCCCACCCTCTGCCAACAGCCCACTGCGCCCGCGCCCAGGTGTGTGTGTGTGTGTGTGTGTGGTAACCGGACTTTTCCCCATCCTGGGTCAGGGAGGAACCTGAATTCCCAGAAGGACAGCAGGGCGGGGTGGGCACCTGCACCTGGGCCGCGAAAGAGGGTGTGGCCACAACCCAATGGGACAGGTGACTTGGGTAGACTGTGGCCTGCTCACCACCATGGCTCCGTGCCACGTGGGAGGAGAGTGAAACGAATCCTCACGAGCTGACCACAGGCCCTGTGGAGCCCCCACCCTGTGCCCTTGTGTCCAGGACCCTCAACCCCAGCATGGGCTCAAAGATGAAGAACAAGTGAGACAAACAGGGCAGGGGCCAGGAATGGGACCGGAGGGGCCCCCGGGACCCCAGACCAGGAGGAGCCCGAGAAGAGGGGCGAGTCCACAGGGCACCTCCAGGGTCAGGATAGGAGGCTGTTCTTGGCCTGAGAATCGAGGCACAGCAACCCCGACCCCACAGACGCTGCACAGTGGAGGGGGTGCCCGCAGCCCAGACAGGCATTAAGCGGTCACTGGATAAGGAGGCCCTCAGGGTGCAGCGCCATTCAGCTCTGGCTACTCTCAGCCGCCACCTCAGCTTTGGACAGCAGCCCCTCCATCAGCCAGATCAGATGTCCACTGGCTCTGGTCAGCACCCTCCACCCACCTGAGGCACCAGATCCCGATATCCTGCTGCCTGTCTACTAGGCCCACCACTCCTGGCCCTGGCCACAGCCCCCGGCCTCCAGGGTCACGCTGCCCCTCTGCCCTTCTGTCCTACAGGGCCATGGTCCGCTGGTCCCAGGCCTGACTCCCATGGCGTCTCAGTGTGGCCACTGGGCCTTCAAGAGTGGGAGCCCAGCCTGCCTGAGGTGGCCCACCTCCAGTCCAGCAGACTGCTCAGGGACCAATCAGGAGGCCCAGGACCTGTGTCCTCATCCACTGGACTCCCTCCACAAGACCAAGACCCCAGGTTTCCAGGCCCCAGGGCAGGGACAGGGCTGTCCCCAAGCTGGCTTCTGTACCCCGTGGACATCACCCACTGGCTCCTACGTGGAAACCTAACATGCAGCAGTCCAGCTACCCTCCTTCCTCAGCGCCTGTCCCACTGTGGCCCCGTTCAGCCATCAGGCCAGGCGGGCGGCTGCTGCCCAGCTCTGGACCAGGCCTGCCTGGCAGGCTGCGTGATACGCACACATGGCGCCATTCTGGCTGCACAGGATGGCGGTGGGCTCCCTCTCCAGGGGCCACCTCGCTGAGGGCTACAGGGTGGCTCTGGCCAGTGCCCGGGGCCCTTGGGGCTCAGGCCCTTGGTCACTTTGCAGCTTCACCATCCTCCAAGGGGGCCCCACCCCCACCATCACACAGAGGCACAGAGGCCACCCTGGCTGCCCAGGGCTCCACCTGCCCCAGCCCAGGACCCTCTGACCTCCCTCCCTGAGAGAGCCCACCTGCCTCCTCTGAGCCACTGAAGCCCTCTGTCTGTGTGCCCACTCACCCATCCCCCAAATACTGATGCAGTAGCTGGCTCTATGCTGCCCTTAAGGGCAGTGCCCAGTGTGAGTGGATGCTGGGGCCGGAGGGGCAGGCGCCTACTTGGCAGGGAGGTGGTCCAGAGTCTGGCCTTATAGGGCAAAAGTTTGTCGAGAGGCAAAAAAGTGGAGGCAGCATTCCTGAGAGAAATGTGCATGGGCCAGCCCTGAGGGTTAGGGTGCAATTCGTGTCTGGGACAAAGTCCTCAGCACCTCCACAGACTTGGCAATTAATACTCCCAGGGACTCAGTTCTTAGCACCTCTGAGGATGAGGTAGTTACCACTCACTAATTTAATACCTCTTTTTAAAAATATCTTTTCATATGTTGATGGGCCTTTATTTTGTTCATTTATTTATATGTGGTGCTGAGAATCAAACCTAGTGCCTCAACATGCTAGGCAAGCACTCTACCACTGAGCCACAACACCAGCTCCCTAATCTCATACTTCTGAGACTTGATATTTCCTAATCCCAAGGACTCAGTCCTAAGCACCTCTGAGGACAAGGTAATTGGCACTCCTGGCAGTTCACTAAAGAATTGGTAGTTTACTGATCCCAAGGACTAAGTCCTCAGTACCTCCAAGGAATTCAGTCCTCAGCACCTCTGGGGACTTCGGAGTGACGACTCCTGGTGAATCAGTCCTTAGCACTTCAGCTTTGCAGAAGCATAAAGGGCAAGCAAGGAGCCACCAGGAGGTCAGCCCTCCCTGGGCCTGAGGATGGCACAAGCCAGATCAGGGAAAGCTGGTCAGGCAGCTGGGACTTCATCAGCAGCAAGGGGAGCCATGGAAGGAATGAGAACAGGGGAGGGCATGCTCAGACCCAGCCATCAGCGGGGACCACCGAGTCTCTGAGTTTCAGCCAACAGGGCTGCTCCCCGACTCCTCCCTGGCCAGCCCCACCACTCCACCCCAGCGTGGACTGTCAGGGAGGAAAGGCTGGCAGGGGGACCCTGGGTCGGGCCTAGGGGCATCCACAGTCTGGCCTGGGCAGCCAGATGGAGGAAGGGCCAGTGAGAGCCCTGGGTGGAGGTGGTGGGAGCAGCTGCCAACTCGCCCACTCCTGGAGGCCTGGAGGCCACTTGGGAGGCTGGTTTCACTCTACACCTCCACTCAGACCTCCTCCCTGGGCCACCAGGGGCTGGCTCCAGCCCAGCTGACACCTTGGCGGGCAGGGAGATAGGGTGTCTTCCTGGAGTTCCTCAACCTCTGCTCTGCCCCAGAACCAGGATCCAGCAGCCTGCAGTGGGCTTCTGCCTGGGCAGGACCCTCCCAGAGCGCAGCCACATCCTCGCAGCCACACAGGGCCTCCCACCAGAGCAGCCCCTGCTTGAGCCCCTCCCCCAGGTGCCACCTTCGGAGCAGAGCTGCAGTTCTGGAGGGCACACCAGCACCCCAGGCACCTGGAGGACTGTGGCCATGAGGTCAGGGTCACACCGCACCAGGAGCCCAGGCTGGGGGAAGGAAGCTGCCCGTGTGCGCCCCAGCCCAGCCCAGACTGACCCGGGGGTCCTGTAGCTGACTCTGCCTGGCCCCAGCCACCCACACTCCACCTGGCCAGGTGCTGGGCCCTCTACAGGCACCTTCCTGGCCAGGGTGGTGGCGACCACAGGGTTGGGGGCTGCAGACCCCCGGGGCAGGGCTCACCTGCATGTTGGCTGTGCACACGGTCCTGGAGTCTGGTGAGGCTGCTGGTCACAGTGCCGGCAGGAGAGTGGCTGCAAGGCGCAGGCGGGCCTCCCTGACTTCCGTGTGGGACGCACCTCTCTCCTCTGCTGCCTCGCCCAGGTGCACTGGGAGGAGCCTGAGGCTCAGCCAGGAAAGCCCCTCCCAGCCCCCCAGGAGCCTTGGACATCTTCCTGGGAACCTGGGGATGGGTGGGAACAGCAAGAAGGGAACCCCAGGTCAGAACTCTCCTGGACCCTCGATTGCCCTCCCCTGCAGAAGGCTCAGGATGGGACTTCCTGGCACCCCCTTCTGGGGGAAGCAGGGTGGGCACGGAGGGCACAGAGCACCAGGTCAGAACCCAGACCCCAGGACAATTCACCCCCAGACTCCCTCCATAGTCCAACTCCTGGCGCCCCAAACCTGGGCTTTGTTCCCCCAGAAGGTAATCTGGGCAAAGGGGAGACACCCCAAAGCCAGCTGCTTCCCCCACCAGAGCCTCTGCCCTGGAGGGAGGGTGGTGTCATCTTGGGGCTGGCTAGGAGGGAAGGGTTGGCCACACCCCGAGGTCCTGAGCACCTTTTGTACAGCCTAGCTGAGAGCAGCAGCTGGAGAGGCTCTGGGTGGCCTGAGTGACCAGCCTGTGGGAGTGGACAGGGTTCACAGAGGAGGGGGAGAGGAGTGCCCAGAGGAAGCTCCGTACAGGCTGGTGGCGCAGAGGATGGGCACCCTCACGGTGCTGCCAGAAGGCCCAAGCTGAACATGCAGGCCTGAGAGTAGGGGAGGGTCGCAGGAAGCCACCAGCAGCCAGGGACGTGAGGGGCGGGGCACCTGGTGTGGAGGCGGGGCGTCCGCGGTGTGAGGGGCGGGGCACCTGGTCTGGCGGCGGGGCGTCCGCGGTGTGAGGGGCGTGGCGCCAGGTCTGGCGGCGGGGCGTCCGCGGTGTGAGGGGCGGGGCACCATGCGGCCTTGCCACCCTCTGCTCGGGTTCAGGCCTTGGGTCGTGTGTTTGTCTGAGTTTCCCAGAGGAGTGCTATTACTGAAAGCCCCATCCTTGTACCCAATGCAAATCCAATAACAAGGACCCGGTTTTGAGAAAAAGGGAAAAGAAGTTTTATTGCTAGCAAAAGAGAAACAGAAATTACTTTGTTCCTGTCCCCCAGGCTGTGATTCTGCCCATCCCGGGGAATACGAGGTTTTTTTTAAAGAGATGACTCAAAAGCCAGGCTTGGTGGCACAGGCCTGTCATCCTAGCAGCTCAGGAGGCTCAGACAGGAGGATCTCGGGTTCAAAGCCAGCTTCAGCAAAAGTGAGGTGCTAAGCAACTCAGTGAGACCCTGTCTCTGAACATCTAAACAAAATACAAAATAGGCTGGGGATGTGGCTCAGTGGTCAAGTGCCCCTGAGTCCAATTCCCAGTACCAAAAAAAAAAAGACTCAAAGTCTAGATTCCAAGTGTTCTCTGTTAGAGTTGTAATTCACTTGTTAATTTGGGAGATAGTCATTGCTGAGACCTTCTGGTGCCATCCCCAAAGTCTGGATTAGTTGCCAGCATGTACGAGGCCCTGGGTTTGATCCTCAGCACCACATAAAAAAATAAAGATATTGTGTCCAACTACAACTAAAAAATAAATATTAAATAAAGTTACATTTCAGGACTTGCACAGTGGTACAGCCTTTAATCCCAGCAACTTGGGAGACTGAGGCAAGAGGATCACAAGTTCGAGACCAGCCTCAAGAACTTAGCAATATCTTGAGGTTGGGATTGTGGCTCAGCAGTTGAGCACTTGCCTAGCCCAGGATTCAATCCTCAGCACCACATAAAAATAAACAAATAAAACAATACAGAAAGAAAGAAAGAAAGAAAGAAAAAAATAAAGAAAGAAAGAAAGAAAGAAAGATGGATCCAGGGGATGGGGATACTTGGGAGCCTAAGGCAGAAGGATCATAAATGTGGGGCCAGCCTGGGCAACTCAGCAAGACTCTCAAAATAACGCAAAAAGGCAGGGGATACAGTTCAGCAATAGAACACCCCGAGAACACAGAAGGACGCTCACAATATCACAGTTCAGCAGTAGAACACCCCGAGAACACAGAAGGACGCTCACAATATCACAGG